CCAAAACGATTTTTTTTACTTTTGTGTATATTTTGTGTTGGCTCTTATCGTCATTTCGCCATGCATTTTATTTGCTTATTCAATTTGATTTCATCTAGCGCTGTTTGCTAATCTCAAATAGATTGTTGCATAAGGATTGATGGTTATGGCACGGCAGTTGAACCTCTGAGGGTAGCAGACAGTTCAAAGTGATATTTATGTCTATATCTTGTGCTTAGTTGGAGTAGACATTTAAGGCAAGGTATTTATAAGTTGGAAAGTAAATATTTTATATTTTATATATGGATATTTTCTTATAAAATAAACTTTGTTGTCTATCTCCATATCTTGAGCTTAGTTTTGCTCATTTCGATACTAACTTGTTGATAGTAATACAGTCATGAATAGCTATATTGCCATCTCATCTTCCTATATCTCATCTTCCTATATTGCCATTCAATGCAATCCGCAAGAATTTCTCTACTCAGGTACTTCCTCATATCGGCCTTTATTTCCCTTCACTTTCGATTGATTTGCATTCAAATTTCTCAATTTCGACATCTCTGCTGGCTGCTGCCCACTTGATACAGTGATCGATATGCACAACTGGCCATAACGGACCGACATACCTCAGTGTGCCGCCCACAGCTAAGCCTACACGCCCATTTGCTACCGTTTAGCCAGATTGATTTCATGCCAGCCGCTGCACGACTCCGATGATCATTCCCATTTCCAGTGGCAGTCCGCACAACGCCCACAAATGTGGGCGAGCCGCATTTTCCCATCGCCGGGCCATCAATCAAACTCGAGTGCCAGCGCGAGGACTAGAACTGCACTTCACTTCGGCCCAAAACGGGCTGTGGGGGGAGCACAGGGGCACCCTGAGCGCTTTTGGTTGTTAAAATTGAAGCGGCATCATTTTTCATATCCGCGGCAAACAACTGCCGCAAAAAAGCCAAACGAATAAAAGAAAACACAATATGCAGTCGTATGGAAATCGAGTAGCAGCTAACAGCGGGAGCCACGTTCAGGTCCAACCTGGAGCTCGACCTGGACCTGCAGCTCGAATCTGTTGAGCTCGATGCGAATACGTGATCGCCGTTTGTTGCCTTTCTTTTGTGTGCGCCTCCAAAAAACGCAGTGGTTCTCTCTCTGTCTCTCTCTCTTTCTTGTTTTGCATCAAAACCAAACTAACAGCTCCCGCCGCAGCCGCCCCCTGTAGTCCATCCCGCCCGGCGTCCCTCCGGCCAGGTCCACTTGCTTTGTGTGCACAGCGAATGTTTCGATGCGCGCGCGAATTTGTTGCAATTTCTCATTGTCAGCAACGCGTTCGCCGGTAAAGTTTGATTAAACGCTCCACGGGAATTCACTTTGCCGGCTCGCGTTTCGCGCTTCGCGTTGCCAGTTTCCAGTTGCTCGGGCGCTTGCTAAATACCCTGTAGCCATTGAAAGTCATTTAAAAATACGGCTGAAGTGCAGCTGTGGCAATGCAACAGACAGTTGCCTGAATTTGTCTGAAAAGCTGAGTCGAACCAGAGAATTTATAGTTTCGGAACTTATTCTCACACTTCTGTTGCAGCAAAGACGGTAGAGGAGTTGGACAATAATATTTAAAGTAAAACTCAATCAGTTGCTAAAATTTTAAACATATTTTAATGTGAATACACCATAAAAGAACAAATAAATATTTATACTTATATTAAAAATTACTAAACATATAATTATACAGATTAAATATATCTATTTACATACATATATGCATTTTTATACACTTGTAATATATCCTATATCAAGTATATTTAATCATACACGCTTAAAAATCGTAATTGAATACTTAACATATTTATAAATACGTGTGTACATGTACAACATATACACAGCTTTAATACATATTGCATATATCGACCAACTACAAATAATAATATACTCATTTAAATATTATTTAATATATATGTATGTAACCCATTTATTTATAAAATGAGTTTAAAAATAATTATTGATTGCTAAGAAAGTGTATACTAAAAATGATTATATTTTATATACATTTAATTTAAATTTGTATACTGATTTAAATTTTAAATATTCTATTATTTATTAATCAAACACTAAATATTTTTATAATATATAATTATATAAAATTAAACCTTTACTCCCAGAGTATCTGCCATGAGTAGATCCCACACACCTATTCGGTTGGCTTTCTGCTTTTTATTTTTTATCGTGTTTTTTGTTTTTGTGAAGTGCCGATAGATGGACCCTCTTTGGTCCTTGCCCACCTTTATTTGAATTTGATAAATGGTGGCCGTTGCAGAGCGATATGTTATGCAATTTAAGGATTTGTTTTTGGTTGCGATATTGCAAGTTGGTTAAATGCTAGCACATCGCTGTTATAAATGAACACGGCTCTTGAAAATCAATTAGAAGGTCCAGCAAGGTGAAAGCACACCTTTCTATCCCAGCTGCAGCCCAAGCGCTCTTTGTGCTCCAATCCAATCTGATTACAGAGGCCGGGCCCAGCCAGCGCAGCGCAGCGCTGCTCAATGTTTGTCAAGGCCCCGAGGGACGGCAGAGAACAAAGAAGTAGCGCATTAATAGCGCCACAATAACAAGCTATAATAATAATTTTGCTCCAATTAATCAGCGTTAAATCAGCGAACCGACGCGATTCCATTCGATGTCTACCAATTGCCGCCTTTGTTTTGCCGGCCTTTTTGTTATGATTATACGTTGCAGTTGTTGTTGTTGTTGTCGTTGTTGCTGTCGTCGTTGTTGTTGGGACCGTTGTTGAAGCGGATCAATGTCTGGGAACGTCGCAGATGCCGCAGCCGATGTCTGCTTCCATTAAGCTTAAATAATATTAAAGCAGAGAGCAAGAGAATTCAATTTACGCAATATTCGATTGCTTAAGAGTTTCATTTATTAAAGGGTAAATTTTTAAATGGATGTCTTTAATGGATATATGTATATATATATGTATGTATATATATATATATGTATATATATATATATATACATATATATATATATATATATATATTATATACATATCCATTAAAGACATCCATTTAAAAATTTACTCTTTAATATATATATATATATATATATATATATAAATATATATATATATATATATATTCTTTTATTTATAGATTCTAATAAATTCATTTTTGTTTTATAAAAGTAATTATACGTTAGGTTTATATATGTTACTTTATTATATGTATTCATCATATTTTATATTATTATTTATTTATTTAATATTTATTATTGTTACCATCATTTATTATAATTATATATAAGTTGAAAATAGTGTTTTAAGTTAAATTTTGGTCATAATCATTTTTAAGAATATGTATTAATCGATTTGATATATACTTACGTCTTACTTTTAATCCTTAAACATTGCTCTTCTATGTGATTCTCATTGACAGACATGAGAGCAGAAGACTTCCATGACTTAAATGCAATTTTTCTCGCTGCATAATTTCTCCTATTCGATTTCCTTGTTTTCCTTGAGCAGTCTCGAGCCAATCTTAAGTTTTTGCTCTTTAGATACTAAAAATGGGTAATAAGATAATTGATATGGCAATCTATGCTAAATCAATTGAATATATGTTTTACTTAAGTACCATTCAAGAGTCAGACAACTGCGAATCACATTCAGCATCGAGAACAATTGACATTTGTGACGTGTGTGAAGTGTTTTTGTTGTGAAGCCTTTGAGTTGTGGATTGTTGTCTTTACCTTTTTGTTCGCTTTTGTAAATACTCAAAATTGGCCAGGTTCGACTCCGCTGTTGCCTGATTGTTTTCGATGCTTTTAACAACTGATTTTCAACTTAATTGCTTCGTTGAGGGTCTGGCCTCAACTGCGAATCGCAGCCAACCAACAGCCAACGTCTGCTAGCGAGTCAGGCCGTAGGTAGGAGGTAGAGTGAGCCGTAGGTGGTCCCATAACGAGCTAATGAAATGTACGCAGCTACAACTACACTGAGTCAGGAGCTGTCAAAACTGACGACTCCACTTGCCAGCAAGAAAAACATAAAATACATGCAAATTGCTCGGTAATTGCATAACTTATCATCATCAACCAAAGTGTTTTCTCTTGCTCTTGGGATGATGTATGTAAATGCTAATACAACCAAGAACCACAGAATTGTTTTAAGAAAATAACAGAAAAAGCTAATATATATGCATAAATATATATATATTTTATGTATCGATTTTTTATATATGTCTATATAGGGTAATTCGTATAAGTGATGATCTGGATTGAAATTATTTGGTTTTTTATACTTGAATCTATCATAAATATCACTAACCAAAGAACATGTCTGGTCTATGTGTTCTTTGGCTCGTGTTAATATGAATATGATAAATGAAGGTTTTAAAATTGGCTATGAAACTTATTTTTTAATGGATTACGTTTTAAGTATACACAAGTCTTATAATTCTTTCCCAGCTACATATGTAAGTCAAAAGCATCAATAATTCATACGTTGTTGCTTCCTTTATAAAGCCAAAAAATTTGTAGAAATCCCATTATTTTTGATCGCCTTGTTGATTAATCTTAATTGAAATATTATTAAAAACCCTTTTGCAATTCATAAGGCAAAGGTTAATTAATTAAGTTCTCAGTTAAGCCATCATTAGGTAAGACTCACAAGACTCTATAACTTTTAGCGAAAGGGGTTTTCCTTACTAACGCAGTGGTCACACGAAAGAACTGGCGGAGACTGTTAAAAACATACAAGCATGGCCTTACAAATCACAATACATTTTAAAGTACATTTAAGTAAAACGTACATTTATATATACAATCTATAATAAAGAGCTTACTCTACTTAATCAAACGAATCTTTTTTAACAATTCGAAAAAGTGCTATTCCCTTGCGATTTGTAATTATCGGGAATCGAATTTAATTTAATACTCTTCAGAGTTGTCGCAGTCCAGTAAAGACAACCCTAGGTAAGCCTATCGATAACAGTCGAAGCTCATCAGCTCTTATTGAGTTGTCATTGAGCGCGTGGAATATAAAAGTCGATTTGTATCAGCAATTAAGTTCCAGTTTTCAGAGCATTTGGATTCCTTGACGTTTAAAGAGGCGACTCTGGTTGGATTTGCTAATTAACACGTCGTTGCTTGGGTTCGTGTTGCGTTTAATTAATGGCGATCATTAAAAATTTGCATCCGATTGCGCGAATGCGAACATTTGTCCTGGCCAGCAGGCCAGCTGGGCAGAACAGGCTTGGATTATTTTTAGAATTTTAGGGCGAAGCGAAATTGCAGTTGGCCTCTACTCTTGACGGCCTTTTGATGAGCTGCAAACCAGTTGCGCAGCGATGCGGCAACAAAGTGAGCCACTGCTGTGACCCTCTGTGTAGGTGTCGTTGTCGTTGTCGTTGTCAGCGCCGGCTGAACCTCGACTTGTCAATATCGTTTACATCAGCCTCATATTGGATGCCCAACTAGAGAGTGTCAACTCCCGGACAGTCGGCCATCGGCCACCGGGCAAGCGACTACAACCCGTTTTGCTGTTAGCCAAAGTCTAAGCACAGTTGGCCCCTTGTCACTGGCCACTTGGCTGTCAGCCAGCGGCGCCTGCGGTTGACACTTTTTCGCGCCGACACGCCCGCTAATCCTCTCATGCATAGCATCTGGCGGGGTCGAGTGGCCGGCCACCGAGATGACTTGGCACGTTGAGCCGCGCGACTGAAGCGGAGACAACGCAGACAATGACAGTGACGGACCCAGCTGGTGGCCCAGACCCAATTTGTTGCGCACACACAAAACCTTAGCCATAATAACTGTGTTAGCCCCCAAAGACCCAAAGATATCGTTTACACGCTCAGCGCTCTCAAGTGACAAACTCAATAATGGCTTTGGGCGTACACAGACTAACATTTATTTATTTACAGCACCTTTATTTTGGCGAATACCTATTGAAGATGTCCAGTTCCAAGGCAGAGGCTGATAAAAAGAGGAGGTAAGACTGCGATTGGCCAGAGTAGGTTTCTCGAAAAACTTGGTAAATATTCAAAATGTTTCAGGGTTAAGTAAGTTTACCAAAAAGTGGAGGCTTAAGTAACTCTGTAGCGTATATGAAAGAGCATAATGGTATATATAATAAGTATGATATGTAACTCAAATATTTTAATCTAATGCTTAAATGCTTTCAAACAATTAACCTACTTAAATCCAGATTGTTTTTCGTGTCTAGGCTAGGTCAGCTCTTATATTCTCTCGTATACGAGTGACACTATTCGATTATTCATTAGATTTTAATAAAGTGGGGACACACTTCATTGAATTTCATACATTTTGTTAAATAACTAACTAAGATTCACATAAGAGATTGAAGCGAGCCTATTGCTGACAATCGGTCGCACCCGACTGCAACCTTACGCGATTCGCACTCTAAATGATTTGAGAATGCCTAACATGCATAAAATTAGAAAGTGAAGTGCTCTTCGAGACCTTTCAAAGTTAACTCTTGTTCTTACTTAATAGAATTTTCTTGATTCTTCCAATTCCTCAGCCCTAAGGCGCCAAGCCATGGCAGCGTCATGGTGGGAGTTTCATTTGCTGATGGCATTATCTTGGCCATCAATTCAGTGAACAATCTGATTTACTATTTGGATGATCATATCTAGTAAGTTCATCTTAACCTATAATATCCGCCATCCCACTAGTGTTGCTCATCAATTCATTTTAGCTGCTGCGCAAATGGCGCCGGATACGATCGCGAATTGTTGGTAGACGTGTCCACAAAACTGGAGGGTTCGCGCGTGGCTCGTTCTCAGATTTTGGTGTCTCAAGCGGTGGAACTGATTAATAGGCTGTGTGACCAGGCAGAGCCCACGGACCTGCTGCTGGCTGGCGAGGATGTGACTGGCCTGCACTTGCTGACAATGAAAGCCCCGCACACCACTTCGCTGGTCGATTTTGCGGCACTGGGCGACGGAGCTACTGGACCGTCTGGACCCGCCGAATATCTGAAAGCCCACTGGCAACCGGACATGACTCTTAAGCAGGCGGAAGCTCTGGCCCGCCGAACTGTCACCTTGGGTAGTACGAAAAATGTTTGCGTCGATGTGTGCATCGTATTCAAGCAACCTCCTCCTCGGACGGAATGCCTGACCTCTCTGAGGCGTTATAATCAAAAGCAGAGCTAATTTAGCGATCCATTTGGTCTGACTGATTTGCTGTTAATTCTTAAATGTTTATCTGGCAGCATAAATAAATGAATAGCTGATGCTCCGCTGGCTCTAAGTAATTAACCACATTTCTCAGCGTTCGAGCTGGGGCAGCCAGGAATAGATTATCTCCCTAGATGTAGCCGTAGCTGTAACAAACGTCCTGCTCGCGTCTCTCCGGGCCAGATGACTATCGCAATGCTGCTGCTGCAGGTAAATGCAGAGTAAGCACAAATGATTTATGCGCCCGGGCAGCATATAATTAATAATGATTAAAAGCTGGCGCCCATCAACAGCCCCAGATGGACAACATGGTCATAAGCAACTCGATTCCTGGGGCTCCACGACTAATCGCCACAGACGGACTTTCCTATGAAATGAAAAGTGGCCGAGTCAAGATCAAAATCCACTCTCAGGCGCCCAGCGGACGACCCGCTGCGTCTGGATTAACTTGAAATTTATACATGTATATAAATATGTATATATGTATATATATGGCATTTGAATGTTCCATATTGGGCCACGAGTTCACGATTCATTGCCTGGATGCCTGTTTGGCCTGTACGGTGAGCCCGCTTTGGTGCTGTGCGTGACCAGGTTTCATTTTCATTAGCCTCGTTACGTCTCGTGGGCTGTGGAGCTCGGTGTGTGGTCCGACAGCACCTGGGTGGCATTATGTTGTCAGCCTCTTGATATTTACTGCAGCAAAACTTACTAATTGATTTCTGCCCAAGTTCCGCCAGAGGGAGGGAGTGAGAGAGAGATATATCTGCCTGTTTTTTGTGCGGTGTCATAATGGCAATTATTTTAATTACATATTTAGTTGAACACGCCAAGCATATTTATACAATTCATATTTGATTTAGTGGGTCTCATCGGGCTTCTGATAGTGGCCACATCTGTCAGTGAGCGGGATCCTTGCTGTAGTCGCCAATGTCCTTCAGCACGAACACAGTTTGCCTTTGAAGTGTAGATTGAAGCTTCTCGAATGCTTGCGTTTGCCATCGTCTTTCTGTAAAAGAGCTCAGAGTGAATGGCTATGGATGAGGAAACTCGATGCCAAGCATTGTGAGCGTAATTGCTGATTGCCTTGAAGCTCTTCATAATATTGTTGAGGCCCCATAGCCAGCAAGCCACAAGAAGTACCTATCCGTGTACAATGCACAATATTTGAAGATGAAACTGCATTATCTTCAAATTTGTATTCGGGCGTATAGTCCATCTATTGGATAACTCAACAAAATTGAGAGCTAGGTTCATCTTGAACGATTCTTACCCGACATACATATGGTTTTCCCGCAACTAGGCCAACCCACTTTACTTTAGATTGGTCCATCTTGTTTCTTTCGTGAATATCATGCGACTTATCAGGAGTTTCAGAAAGAATTTTAGGAAACGTCTTAGGAAAATTTAGGAATTAAAATCAAGTAAATCACATCCCAGAAGTGAAAACAAGAATTATTTGATTGATATTAATTCTTTATATTCGAATAAATTATTCTGAAGATTCTTTTGAAATCGAACTAGTTCCTTTGACACTCGATAACGAAAGTTGGCTTGTGCAGCTCTGGCAAATGCACGTTGCTTCTTCAGCAATCGACAATCTAAAGTTCACGTGGTTGGTTGCAACCTGCAAGGCAAATATCTTGTCAAAGCTTCTAAATATTTCGCAAGTCAGCATCATCAACATTAAAATGGGCAAACGAAACCCCGAAACTCGATCGGTAACTGTTTTTAAATCATTGTATATTTAAACATTAACTATATGTGAATAAACAATATTAATTTAGCAACCCCGCGGAAAGGTGGCTCTTGCAAAGGAAATGCAACGTAAGTGTCTATTTATATGTACATACAAATGTATCTATATATTATATGTATTTATATGCATACACTTTTTTTTAAATATTTCCATATTTCCCCTCCATGTATTCCCTCGGTAGCTGCTGCTGCGGCTACTGCCACTCCACCTATTGCTCCAGAGTTACCAGCCGAGCCCCCCGCACGGCGTCCACATGTAAGTTGTCACCATCTTGTCAACTCTTTGTTTGCAATTTACTCTCGCTTCTGATAGGGGATTCCACGAAAGAGATCGTTGGATTCGACTACCGAAAGGAACGATAGTGTTGTCAACACTAATGCGGTGCTGCCAGCTTCCTTGCCGGAGCACGACAAGTGCGAGGCCGCGATCAATGATGGTGTTGCACGGCAACCACGAGTAAGTTTTCACTTTGGTTTTGATTCGTGTTTCCCCACATATTGCCGCTTGTTGCAGGGACGTTCTCGTAGGAGACCGTTGGGTGCTGCTCCTGCGTCGCGAAGGGAGGATAGCCTTGTTAAAACCAAGACTCTGGAAGCACTGCAGCGCTCTTTGAAGGAGCACAACCAACTCCAGGCCACGGTACCCAATGGGTTTGCTCGCGGCCTGAAGCCAGAAGCGATTCTCGCCGGGTTTAAGTACGAAAATGATCTGATGTTTGCGCTGAAATTTAAAAACCGTAAGAATCCCGAGCTAGTGACCAAACAGGAGCTAAAGCTGCGTGCTCCGAAGATGCTTATTAATTATTATGCAAACCATTTGTATTTTCCCAAAGAGGATACACCTAAGAAACCCATGTAATTATTTTGGCTTTTGCTTAATTATTGATTTGTTCAATTATATACTGATTATATAGGCATGTAATGCCAAAACTGAAACTTTACTGCTTTGCCGCCATCTTGAAACCCTAGAACAAATCAGAAAACTCAAAGCACACATACAATCAGAGTTGTATGCCTGGAATGCATGCATTCGGGGTGAATGGCATAGAAATATGTAAGCATGTGTGCACATGTATAAATATGCATATGTATGTGTGTTACTACGTACATTTAATACTAGAAGTTTCTCGCATATGATATGCCAGCACATATGCACATTCTATTGAATATTTGCCAAATACCAACTCATATTTATCAATTTCTATATTTGCAATTGACATCTATTTGAGAAGCTGGCATCAAAGAGAAGATTGTGGAAGCATCAGCATCAAAATTATTCAGCAAGTTATCCATTTCTATTTACTCTCCACTACCAAGTACTTCCATCTTTGGTTCGGATGAGACTAAAACTATACATATGTTAACTTTGTGCTCTGCCTTTGAATGCTTGACTGGAAACTCCATCATCCTTAGGTAGTCTCCACTTAGGTCCACTCCACTTTCGCCTGTTACATATATTTTAAGGAAGCTATTCTACGCTGATTTCCTACATAGAATTGGTTCAGGATGAGGAGCTGGGACACCTGTCCAGCAGACACCTTTAACACATTCATTCGGCATTTGTAGCGCTCAACTGTACAAGTTACATAGATGGATGTTACATGCACCGCCAGGAAATATTTCTAAAAGAAATGAATATATGAATCAACATACGTATTTATTTATATCTAATGTTCAAATAGTGGAATGTATGTACATACGTACATACATATGTATTTATTTTTCATTTGCCTAGCTCCGTTTCTTATTTCGTTTATGTGTGTTGGCAATGCCATAGAAAGCGAGTATCACTCTTCGATAATTCACTAGAATTTCTTACATATATAAAGTAGGGACACACTTCCATTGAACCAATTCGATACCTTTTGTTGTTGCCTAATTAGTAATTACAGAGTCATATAAAAAATTGATGCGAGTTGCTCCCGAGACTCGTGTCCATCAAGATTGCAGTATTATTACCGATCAATCAATTAGTTATAATATATGAAGTTTTACGGCTACTGCAGAATAGGAGATGTATTCTTAATACGTACGTACATATGTATGTATGTATGGGTCTGTAAGAAATGTGCCGAAATGCTGAGCGCAGGCTCATCCACAATAAGCATATTTCTTGTGTAAGCCACAGGTGTCTTTTGGGCACACCTTGCGTTCATCATGGGAGTATTTGCTTTAAGCATACAGATTTGCAAAGTTAACGTCGCATTAAGGCAACAATCACACTCTGGTTCGCATATAAATTCAACTCCAGGCCAAATGTAATTCTCGTACTCTCATATATTCAACAGCATTCGCGACTTTTCGCAAGGAGAGGCTACCACAACTACAACTACTACAACAGCAGGAGCAGCAGCAGGAGCAGCAGCAGCAGAAGGAGGAGGAGGAGCAGGCGCAGCCGCAGCAGCAACAGCTCGAACGATGGAGCAGATAAATTTTCATGTTGTCACACCTGCGTCGTCGTTGCATGCACATAAATATATATGGCTGTCTGTATGTGTGTGCGAATCGAGCCGCCAAAAGGTGGCATTGCAACAATTTCAGTCGAAATAAGATATCAAGGGAGAGGCATTCAGTTCGCACCCAGCTTGCCCAAAGAGGTGTAAAAAATTGAAAGCGAAATATTATTAAAATGCCGCATTGTTGGACCCAGCGATGTTCCTGCTGCCTGTTTCTTGGAAGTTGCATCACTCTCTTCTCTCTCACTCTCTCTCGCTATCTCTCTCTTTGTCTGTCTGTGGCGCTGTGCGCATCTTTATTTATGGCGAATATTTGATTTGCGAATTTTCGTTTCTGGCACTCGTGTCTCGTGCTTCTGCTGGCTGGCATTGACAGTTTGACTGTGCGCCTCCGCCGGGCAGTCGAGGAGAACCTGGCTGCATAAATATTTGCTTATTTATGCACCAAAGTCAACACTCTCCGTACACAATGCACTCAAACTGTGCGTATTCGAGTGCAAGCGGAATGCGGTTGAAAACAATTTTTTTTTCGGCTCTACCCAAGCAACAGGTACGAAAATAAACTCACACTGCAAATAAATAACTCAGCGAATGATTAAAGGCTCTAGATAAGTGTGGCCTGAGCGACACAGATGTGATTTTAAGATAAGGAAACATATTGCACTAAGTGCTGCCAATGAAGTTGGATAATCAAAATTACGCATACGCGGCGTTGCGAAATGTTTGTTTTAGTTGTCTCACACTGTATTTTTGTAAAAATCACATTTTCATGCATAAATTTCTGAGTACTGAATGAATGATAAACCAACGATTAAGGCTCAGTTAAAAAAAACCTGTTTATTTAACTTTTGTCAGGGCGAATTGAATGTTGA